GGCTCCCTGCTCAGCGAGGAGCCTGCTTCTCCCTCTGACCCTCCCCCCTCTCACGTACTCTCTCTCATTCTCGCTCTCTCAAATAAATAAATAAAATCTTTAAAAAAAAAATGCTTTTATTTTTTGGGGCACCTGCCTGGCTCGGCCAGTAAAGCATGTGACTCTTGATCTTGGGGCCATGAGTTCAAGCCCCACGTTGGGTGCAGATTAAAAAAACGCTTTTTTTCTTAAACTTTAAACATAGGAACCATCACTGAAAAATGTTTAATAAAATGATTTTAAGCAGGGTATATCTGTACTCATTAATATTGTAGGTAGGTTTTTAGCTGGTAAAGTTAATTTGTTTTAAAAATAAACTGAACATTATGAGAAGGGAGAGTTTCCAGCATGTCCATAAAACAATAAATCAATTTATAGAAACTGTCATTTATTTTGAAAGTGAGATCCATGAATAGGTTTCAAGAGATCTGTGAATCGGTACAAAATTTTGTGTGTATGGGAATTATTCTGTGGAGAATTTCCACGAGGTTAAGAACACTGGTATTAAAAGTAATTAGACACAGAGTAAATAAATATACTTTAATTTCAACATCTAACATTTGATGCATATAGTTGTTAACTCTATTACTGATATGTCCTTCTCTCTATTTTGTTCTTTAGGAAAATCATTTTAATATAATGAATTTTATTGATAAAGTAGAGTTGTTTGAGGTAAATAGGTTATGATTGTCTGGAATAAAGTTTTTTTTTTTTTTTAATCTTAAAATAATCCTGATAGAGACATGTCAAAGGCCACACGTCCGTGTGGCTCCATTGCCAAAGATGAGCCAGTCTGATCATAAAAGGAATAATGAATGCAGCTGAGGGAAACACTTTGAATACATAGGTAGCCACAAAGTTACCATTAAAAACACTGATGAGACAATTAGGGAAATCTGAATATGGGCTACGTATTTGATTACATTAGGAAATTATTCACTTTTCTTGGTGTGATAATGACAATGTGGTTAAGAAAAAGGAGTCCTTGGGCACCTGAGTGGAGTCGTTAAGCGTCTGCCTTCGGCTCAGGTCATGGTCCCAGGGTCCTGGGATCGAGCCCCACGTCAGGCTCCCTGCTCCGCGGAGAGCCTGCTTCTCCCTCTCCCACTCCCCCTGCTTGTGTTCCCTCTCTTACTGTGTCTCTCTCTGTCAAATAAATAAATAAAATCTTTTTAAAAAAACCAAAACATGAAAACAATCTCATGAGTTCTTGATACTCAAAAAAGAAAAAAGACAAAAATGAAAACTGATAGTGAAAACAATTTAAAAAATACATAGGTCAACACCAAGATAATTAATGCATTCTTCCTCCTTCCTCTAGAAATTTAACAATTAAAGGGGAAAAAAATGAAGCATTTACCTTGTCTTTTGTGTATGAGCTGCATTTTAGAGAACCCAAGTGGCCATACTTGATGAGGGAAAGTTCTTCTTTACAAGAGCATCCCAGCTAATAAATCTGACAAGAATGTTCACATTAGAAAGTCACCACTTGTAATCCTTAGTGCAATAATTGATTTGCACAAGGACCATCAAAAGGTGGAAGGCTGATGAAATTTACAAGAGGGGTTGAGTTTTCCCCTCTGGATCTAGGCATCAATCTTAGCATCACTAAAGAGGTAAATTACCCTGCCACCTGTTATAATGTACTCAGTATCAGTACAGGGCCTTGCCTTTGAAATACTCTTCCACAAAGAGCTGACCTGGAATCTAATGAAGCCTCGAGATGTAACAAGTTTAATGGTAGGAAAATCGACCCACTTTCTTCAGCAAATCAAAATTATTAAGAAGAAAAAAAAAAAGGCAGGGGTGCCTGGCTGGTTCAGTAGGTGGAACATGAGACTCTTGATCTTGGGGTTGTGAGTTTGAGCCCCACGTTGGGTGTACAGATTAAAAATTAAATCTTCAAAAAGAAAAAAAGGCAGAGGGGGTGTGATAAGGGAAGTACTTTAGTTTAAGAGACAGAGTGGGCATCTTGTGTGGAAAAGATAAAATCGTAGAATTATTTTTGAGGCATTTAAAAATTCTGATATGTATTTGATAACAAGGAATAATTGTTAAATTTTTTTAGGTATAATATGGTCATGCAAAGAAATGTCCACATTTTCTAGAAAGTAATATTGAAATATATAAGGATGAAGGGACATAATGATGTCCCTTTGGAAAAAAACAGACTAAAAGCAAGGAGCTATAAAGCTAATATGACAGAATCTTGATAATTGTTGAGTGTGATAATGAGTGTGGGGTGATTCCTCCTATTATTCTACTTCTGCATATTTTGGAGAATTTTATATGATAGAGCGATGTTATCACCATACCACAAGAAATAACGTTGGTTGTTTTTAGCAGAAGTTTAAGAGGAAACGTAAGAATCACAGAAAAATCTCATTTCCACACACTAGGTTTATAGTATTGATTATTTATTGAACAATAATTAAAATACAGATCCAATAAGACCAACTGGCAGGTGAGGAAGATTTTTTTTTTAAATGAAATTTCCTCAATTCAATCAATGAACTGGTGAATCAATGAAACAAAGACACAGAAGGTAAAGGAAGGAAATAGTTGGCCACCTTCTGCCCAAAGCTACCTTTGCCATGGTCTTGAATCTTTGGAAATATTTGATAGAACATCCTACTAATACTTCTCATAAACCCTTGGTCAAGCTGGATTCGCAAAGCCAACGCAACCAGGACTTTTACATCTCTGAAGTTTGAGGGTGAACTTAGTTCACCGTGGGGAGTTTATAAGCGAGGAAAAGTAACGCACTTAACATCGTCATGAAGGCAGCCAGACACGCCACCAGAAAGGCACTGCCAATCTCCTGAGTATTTGGCTTGAAGGGTATAGCGAGAGATGGCGGGAAGGTAATACCCTCTTCATTCACCACGGAGTGGTAATTCCAGACCACAGCGATTGAGATACAGATGCCAGCAGCCAGGTTCAGAATTCCTGAAGCAACAGATGGATTGAAGGTGGCATTCCCCTGACGAACTCCCATGTACACATTTCTAAGTGCAAAGATGATGGAGGCTCTCCCCAAAAGGCCTAGAATGCTGGCGACCAGCAGGAGATTTTGAGAAACACGAATATCAAGAGGGAGGTAAGTATCACGGTAGCTGAAATGGCGACACAATTTGGTTCTGTTATAGTTGCTGATATGGTGGTAAATGCAGACTTTCCACATTCCCACACAGACCGGGCCAGAGGGAAAGAGAGAGGTGTTGTCCATGTGCCACACTCTCCACTCCACGAGGCCCATGGAGGTGGTGGTGAGGATCCATCCAACCGTGGCGATAGCAAAACCTGCCACTTGGCAGTTAGCGCTATTGATGAACAGAAGCATGGCGGCCGCGCACCCAGGGAACTGCAAACAAACACAGAGCACTGTGACGGTGGGGCCCTTGGGCTTGGAACAACCCCCGTGGGTACGCAGAGCTATATTTGGGAATGGAGACATGGGACGTTCACATTCTGCTGGTGGGAGCACAGAGCGAGCACACTTTTGTGAGAGGACCTTTGGCACTATTCATCAAAAGCCTTAAAAGGTGCCGACTTTCAAACAGGCAGTTCCATTTTGGGGCATTCGTCCAAAGAAATAATTACGATCAGCCACATATATATAGTCATGAAGTGGTCATCATGGCCCTGTTCGTAATACTGAAAAATGGGACACATGTTCAAGTCCAACAATTGAGCTTGGTTAAATAAGTTATGTTCTATCGGTGCAATGGAGCTATGTGCTAATGTTCAATATATGGCTGGAATCGAGCAAGGGGTAATATTTTGTGTTTGGCTCTGCTCACTTGCATAACGTTTTAAGTTTCATCCATGTCCTGCCATGTATGAATAGTTTGTTCCTTTTCATTGCTGGGTCCTATTCAATTGGAGGGATAGGCCACAGTTTAAGTTTTTGGACATTGGGATTGGTTCCAAGTTTGGGCTATTATGAATAGTGCTGCTCTAAACATTTCTATGTAATATTTTGTATGGGCATACGTTCTCATTTCTCTTGTGTAGATATCTAGAGTGGGGCTAGTGGGGCATATGGTAAGTGTTGCTGAACTTTTTAGAAAGTGCTAAACCATTTCCCTAGTGGCTCCACCATTTTGCATTCCCACCAGCACTGCATGAAGGTTCCGGTTTCTCTATCTCTTTTCCAACAGTTGATATGTTTCACCTTTTTGATTACATCCATTCTAATTACCATTAAAACATAATGTAACCAAAAGGAAGATGTCCCCAATATGTCAAGTACAAACAGTAAGTTACAAAACAGTACATATAATCATGGATATAAGTAGAACTGGAAGTCTGTATGCTAAGTTAGTAGGAGATATTTTTAACTGGGTTGGAGGGATTATGAGTTTTTAAAACTATTTGTATTGTGAAGAATCGTATAGCACACAAAATCTAAGTGTACAGCTCAATGAATTATCACAGGGCAAATAACCACATATACACCACTTGGTTTAAGATATATGACATTATCACTTCCTTATTTGTCTTTATCTTTTTTCACCTTAGCATGAACCCCCAAGCATCTTTATTCAATTCTGCCTGTTTTTCAAAACAGGGATCATGCAGTAGGCATTTCTCTGTGACTGGCTTCTTTCACTCAACACTGTTTCTGACCTTGGATTGTGATTTTTTTTTTTAAAGATTTTATTTATTTATTTGAGAGAGAGAGA